TAATTAGGGACGCAATACCAAAATAATTGAGAATTTTTAACCCAGGATTTCAACCAATTAATCTTAAGGGTTCCATTAAGACATTCAAAGTCAATTACTTTCAGACCGCCATCTTTGATTTCTTTCACCATATGACTTTTCCGTAGATAGTCTGGCCTGTTCCTCCAAATAAAGTTTATGTTCATTTGGTTAATAGTTTTAGTTAAACTATTTGGGATAGCAGTGCTATAGCTTGAATAAATGAATCTTGATAAACTTTCCATTTTTGTTAAATAAATACGTCCTAAGATAGAGAGGTCTCGTTGGAGCCATGAGTTAAGTTTGGATTTACATTCTTTAATCTTGTTTTCAATAGTTAAGGTTGATTCTTGGGTTTTGGTTATTACAGTTCCCAAGTATTTAATTTCAGATTTAATGCTAGATATTTCTTTTAGGGGAGTGTTATGAATGGCTTTTAGATTTAGTGTTAGTCCCAAAGCCTCGGAAATATTTTTTTATTTTATGAATTACAATTGGAACCTGCTTGTGATTTTTTTAAGAAAACGGCGGTGTCATCTGCTAACTGGCTAATGATTAATTCTGTACCAAAAACATCTAATTTCTCAATGTCTGCACAGTTTTTAAGATAGATTGCTAACATTTCTGCAACTAAATTAAAGAGATATGCGTAGATGGGACACCCTTGAGGAATACGAACATTAATGTTAATCTGGCTGTGGTGCCCTGTTGAAAATATAAGTTTAGTGAGCATAACTGTAGAGACAGGTCAACCTTTATGCATATGAAATATAGCATGACCATTTAGATAGATAAAGATCCAGACTGGGGCAGCCGGTGACTCTGAACTTGCATAAATCTATAGGGAGGAATTTTTAGATAAACAGTGTGGAACTCCTCTTTGTGATTTGCAGGCAGGGAGTCTGTCTGTTTATTAGAATCAACAAATTCCTTCCTGTGGGTTCAAAAGTTTGGTAGAACATTAAACTTTAGAAGCCTTCTCCAAAGTATAATAAAATGTATTAAGAGATTTTATTAAACATCAAACAACATGTTTTGAATTAATTAGTTTTAACCACACTATTTGCATGCATTTTATATTATTAAATACAATAAAATTAGGAAACTACTTCACTTTTAAAAATATTTCAGGTATTCTCAAAAAGAGATTCTCTAAAAAAAGCTCACTTTAGTTCTTAGATCCAAACTTATAGTTATTATTTAGCATTAGATTTTGTGCCAGTTTGTTTAAATTACAAATCAGTTTCTTGTTGAATCATTTGAGGCAAAGAACGCTCCAGCTGCAGGTCATAAATCACGGTCTGGATGTAAAAGCAGGAGGCTGGCACAAGAAGATCTGAGTGTTTTAGCAGGCCACAGAGGTAATAAAATTAACATTGACACAGCCCTGCAAGCCACGACACACCTTCTAATGCATATATTTAAATCAAGGAAATACACATTCTTATGAAAAGCTTTTTTTTACAGCGGAAGAGTCGAATTGCTTTTTGCCCTAGTGTGCAATTCCCGGAAAATGCATTTTCTGTTTTCTTTCCTTTCAACTCGTTGCAGGTATTTCTGTGTTGTCACGTGTTGGACTTTTTGATAGTCTGTGTGAGATGCGTTGTGCTCCCTTTACTTGTTGTTCTTTAAATAGGACAGCCACCACGAGCATTCGGTCAAGAATGATAAAAACGTTTCAGGTCTTGATTTCCTTTAATAGAGATGAGAAGAGTGAAGCTTATTCAGAACTGGGCCTGACGGGATCTGGGTTGGAGGTTTGCGGCTGTAAATAGACGTTACTGCAGAATCTCAAGTCTTAAAGGAAGATTCGGCCCAATTAGAGTCACACAGCAAACATCAGAGAAATAGACTTAGACTTAGACTTCCTTTATTGTCATTGTACAAAAAAACACAAGGTGAATCTTGACAACGAAATGTCGTTACTTGGCTACCAGTGTAGCAGAGCTAAAACCTTATACTACACAATAAATAAATAAATACAATACAAGTGCCATAGAATACACAGGTTCAGTGTTGTGAAAAAAACTAAACTAAAGTGCATGTATTGACCATGTCCATGTGGGGGTCATTTGGTGTGTGTGTGTGTGTGTGTGTGTGTGTGTGTGTGTGTGTGTGTGTGTGTGTGTGTGTGTGTGTGTGTGTGTGTGTGTGTGTGTGTGTGTGTGTGTGTGTGTGTCTGTGTGTGTGTGTGTGGAGGGGTGTTATGTGGCGTTAAGCAGTCTGATGGCCCGGGGGAAGAAACTGTTCAGTAGTCTGGTTGTTCTGCACAAGATGCTGCAGAACCTTCTTCCAGACGCCAGGGGGGAAACAGTCCATGGTTGGGGTGGGTGGGGTCGGAGAGGATCTGGTGAGCGCGAGATAGGCAGCGCCTCTCTGCGATGTCCTTGATGCAGGGGAGCAGAGCCCCCGTGATCTTCTCCCCTGTCCTCACCACCCTCTGTAGAGACTTCCAGTCAGAGGCCCTGCAGCTCCCAGACCAGATGGAGATGTAGCTGGTCAGTTGGCTCTCGATGGTCCCTTTGTAGAAGGTCTGAAGGATGGGGGGCGGGAGGGATGCTCTCTTCATCCGACGCAGGAAGTGCATGCGCTGCTGGCCCTTCTTCACCAGTGAGGAGATGTGGGGAGACCAGCTGAGATTGTCGTTGATGTGCACCCCCAGGAACTTGGTTCTGCTGAAGACCTCCACAGCTGAGTCGTTGATGAGGAGTGGTGTGTGGTGTGGTCTAGATTTCCTGAAGTCTACGATGATCTCCTTGGTCTTGTTGACATTCAGGATCAGGTTGTTTCCTCTGCACCAGTCCACCCAGATGCTGCACCTCATCCCTATAGGCTGTCTCGTTGTTGTCCCGGATGAGCCCCCCACTGTGGTGTCGTCCGCGTACTTCAGGATGTGGTTGGATCTGAAGTGTGGACGGCAGTCGTGGGTCATCAGGGTGAACAGCAGGGGCTCAGGACACAGCCCTGAGGGGTGCCGGTGTTCAGGGTGATGACATCGGAGGTGTTGTTCTCCATTCTGACAGCCTGGGTTCTGTCAGTGAGGAAGTCCAGCGGCCAGTTGCAGAGGGGGGTGTTAATTCCTAAGGGGCCCAGTTTGCCCACCAGGGCTTGGGGATGATCGTGTTGAACGCTGAGCTGAGGTCCAGGAACAGCATCCGCATGTGGGTGTTCTTCTCCTCCAGATGCTCCAGGCTCAGGTGGAGAGCAGTGGAGACTGCATCCTCAGCACTGCGCTTGGACTGGTATGCAAACTGGAAAGGGTCGTGTGATGGGGGGAGCGTGGAGATGATGTGGTCCTTAACAAGTCTTTCGAAGCACTTCATGATGGTGGATGTCAGTGCGACGGAGCGGAAGTCGTTAAGGCATGTGATGGTGGTTGACTTCGGGACCGGAACGACAGTGGCAGACTTGAAGCACCGTGGACGACAGCCTGGTCCAGGAACGAGTTGAAGATGTCCGTGAGCACGTGGGCCAGCTGGTCCGAGCATTCCTTGATTAGCAGACCTGGAATGTTGTCCGGACCTGCAGCTTTCCGCGCGTTGACCTTCCTCAGAACCTTCCGCACTGCTGATAATTCTAGTCTGAGCGCCTGTTCATCGGTGTGGTGTCGCTTTCCTCGCAGGGTTGTTGTACAGCTCCTCAAATCTTCTGAAGAAGTTGTTGAGCTCGTTGAGGAAGCCAGTGTCGGTCTGGCAGGATGGGGGTGTGGGTTTGTAGTCTGTGATAGACTGGATGCCCTGCCACAGTTTCCTGGTGTTGTTGGAGTCCTGGAAGAGACCCTGGATTTTCCGGCTGTGGGCTCGCTTCGCGTCTCTGATGGCCCGGTTCAGGTTGACCATTGCAGACCTGAGAGCCGCAGCATCACCAGATCTGAAAGCAGCATTGCATTCTCTCAGGTTCGTTCCCTCCTCCTTGGTCATCCAAGGTTTCTTGTTTGCCCGAGTGACTATTGTTTTTGTTGCTGTCTCTTTGCACCAACTGATATAGTCGATTACAGATGCAGCGTACTCCTCCACGTTGGTGCGCTGGTTGTCTGTTGCTGCTTCCTTGAAGATGCCCCATTCAGTGCACTCAAACAGTCCTGCAGTGCAGACATGGCACCCTCAGGCCATACTCTCACCTTCTTCACTGCAGGTCTCTCTCTGATGGTATGCAGGAATTAGCATGACAGAGAGATGGTCTGAGGAGCCCAGGTGTGGCGGGGGCTGCTCTGTAGGCCTTCTTTATGCTGGAGCAATAATCAGAACCGCAGCATAAAACCAAACATCCCACATATAAATGAATCAAAATGTCTCCAAAGCATCAGAGGACTGACATAGGGGCCGCCGGGGGATTCAGGTGGATTCCAGAGTTACGCATCCTGTTCATGCAGGGCCGGCCAAGGTAATATGGGGCCTTAGACAGAACCCTGCGGTACTAAGAACCTCAGCATCACTAACATGTTTAAATATCAATAAGGTGAATCTGTGAGAGGAGACCAGGTTTACAGTTTAAAATCAATCACTGATTATTGGTTGTTTGTTGTGATGTATTTATGAACAAACCCAATTCAAACACAAAGATTATGCCATACTGTAGTAACACAACAATCAACCTATCAAGATGATTCTTTAAATTTTTACAAAGTAAACTTCCTAATTAAATCCTGAATGTACTTTTCTTCCTCAGCTGAATGTATTAAATAAATTTAATAACATTGTTATTCTCTATAAATGATGCTACAGGTTTAGATGTATGGTCTGTGTTCAACCATTTCTATGGGCTCCTAAATGTCTGGAGGCCCCTGAATGTCTGGAGGCCCTGAATGTCTGGAGGCTCCTAAATGTCTGGAGGCCCTGAATGTCTGGAGGCTCCTGAATGTCTGGGATAGATTCATTGTTTCACAATTGTAAAGATCCTACAGGAGAATAAGTATAAATGTTAGCTGAACAACAAACAGGAATATTATTATTATTTATTTTTATCTTTGTTTATTCTTCCAGTTCCAGTGAAGGTTGTTGGTCATGATCCGATACATGCAAAGGTTGGAGACGACGTTATTCTGCCATGTCATCTGAAGCCTCCATTTGATGTGAAAAATCTTGCAATCGAATGGAAATTCGAGGGTCAAATAATACATGTGCATCGCAGCGGAGTTAAAGATAATGCAGCTTCAAATAAAACACACATTAACCGAACCTTCATGTTCCCTGAGGAGTTTGAAAAAGGCAACATTTCCCTCAAATTGACCAAAGTAACCCAGGAGGATGGAGGGAATTATATTTGCTTTGTTCCCGACCTGCAAAGTCAAGTCAATCAGGGAAACGTTACTCTAATACTTGGTGAGTTTTATAAAATTAAATCATTTAAGACAAACTAGATAAATATATTAATGTCTATAACTCTTGATGTGATTCCTCAACAGATGAAAATGGACCTCAAGGCAGCTTGACTGATACTAGAGGTAAATATGTTTAACTAGGTAACCAGTGGTTTCTGGCCCTCTGACTCAGTTTCAGATTTTCTTTGTTACCTGCAGCCATTGAGGCTCATTGGGTTGAATATTCATCTTCAGGCTTTCCTGTTAAAACATGTTGATGTTCAGCTGGGCAGATAAAACCTGAAGACCTGTGTGTGTGTGTGTGTGTGTGTGTGTGTGTGTGTGTGTGTGTGTGTGTGTGTGTGTGTGTGTGTGTGTGTGTGTGTGTGTGTGTGTGTGTGTGTGTGTTTGTGTGCGTGCGTGCGTGCGTGCGTGCGTGCGTGCGTGCGTGTGTGTGTGTGCGTGTGTGTGTGTGTGTGTGTGTGTGTGTGTGTGTGTGCAAAATTGAATCCAAAATATTCAAAAACAGAATATGATAAAAACCAGTTTTTCTTTCTTGTCACAGGAACTGATCCTGGAGTTATTGCTGGTGTTGTTGTTGTTCTTTTTTTTGGAGGAATCGGCTTCGTCATATATTATGTTTTCTGTCGCCGGAGACGTGAACCAAGTAAGTCAGTCATTGTCTTTTTAAGTCATGCAGGATTTTGTTAAATTAATGATTATCTCCATAGATGCATATTTCCAATTGATAGAAAATATAGTTTTTAATAGTTTCCAAAAACTGATCTGAAGCTGAAGAAAAGTAAAACTCTTGATAAACATGAATATGTAAAGTAATGAAGCTTTCATATATTTATCAATATCTATTGATATTTGATGGAAAAGAAAAGAAAACAAGAAACTAAACCATTATGATTTTCCTTTTCTCTTTAGGTCTTTGTTATTTATTGTAGCTTTTCTGTCTGATCAGGTTGATGAAACATTTTTACCAGTTAAAAACTGATAAGGAGAATTAAATATTGTCGCCTCATTTATATTGTGTGTTAAGATAAATATTCACTGTTTACAATTTTTCCATGCTGGAGCAACAACTCTCAACATGAACCAGTGAGAAATGATGAAGGTATGGAAATGGAACCATTCCAGATTAATAACTTATGTTAATTATTTTCTGTTTTATTTTCCTGCTCAGTGATAAACTCAGCAGTTACTTCATATAGATGTATGAATGTGTTTGTGTTGCTGCAGTCACTGAACATCACAGCTGAGCATCAAACCAGGAAGCTGAACTTCCTTGTTAGTGACTGAATGTGACTGACTAGATATTAGATCATTGATGTAGCAGCAATGAACTGGTGACCTGACTGGGTTCATCATGGCTCACCAGTACTCCCACTGACCTGAACAGGATATGAAGGTTTAGACCAGAGGGTCCAACCTGTGGATCCAGACGCACTAAAGAGAAACAGCCAGAAAACAACAACATTCATTCATAAAATGCTACAAATTAAACTATTATTTACTGCACATAACTCAGATTTTCTCTTCTTTGTTGTGTTTCCTTCAACAGAGAAGCTGATAGCTAATAAATCATGTTTAAGATTATAATTAGAGCTTAATGAGAGACATTTCTTCTGCCTTCATTAAAGTTATATTCTCTTAATCTGACATCTGAATATACATTAAATATTCAGTTTAATATGAACATGTTTACGTTTTTATTGTAATATACTTTGGTTTATAGATTGTTTTATTTTTGTCAACAAACATCTGGAAACAAATAAGAGACAAATAATTTCAGAAAAATCCTTTAATGCTTTATTTTATTTTATTTTTTGCTGATTGATGATAATTTTATTTAGAAAAACTAAAATGACAGTTTGAGAAAAACACAATTCTGTTTTTCTTCAAGTCATCTTAATAATGATGTAACTTTGGGATATCAAACAATTAGATGATGTTATTAATAAAATGTTTTGTGTTTCATAGATCCAACAGAAAATGTCGACCCAGGAAATGAAGCTGAAGAAGAACAAGAAGAAATGCTTTAACAGAACCAGAACAGAACCAAAGAGTCTGAATCTTCCACCTGATCTAAAGTCTCTTCAACCATTTGGTATGAAAACTGTTACATGAATAGAAATGTGGATAATAATATAAAAACTGAATGCATTAAACCCAGAAGGAAGTTATTCATATTAATAATCTTTATTTGAGATTTAATAAATGAAACAAGAATCCTGTAAGTTAAAGAACATCTCAAGTCCAAAGATGTTTCTGTAGTTTAGTTTCTTACTCAGGTTTTTATAAATTATTTGTCTTGAAAAGTTTTTTAATTCATGCAAAAGTTGACAGACTTGATCTCCAGCTTGTTCCTTCAAAAGGTTTTAATTTAATTTCTGTCAGTGAATCTTATTATTTTATTTGATTATTTTCTGTATTTTATTATAATTTTAGTTTCTTGCTGTCCAGTTTTTAATTTATGAATCAGCAATGAATTCATTAGTTCATCTTTTCTTCCATCTCCAGTAGTTCTGTATATTTATTATTTCCTCCTTAAAACTGAAACATTCACATAGGAACAAATAACCTGAATATTTCTATGTTCATCATCATACAGTGAATGTAAAAATAACATTTTGATGCTATATTTCTTTATAAGCATATTATGTAAGATTGTTATTAAAATATCTTCTCAGAGTCATTTATTAACATAAAATAGGAAAAGAACATTAGAAATTGATCAATTATATGAAAATAGGATCATAAACACAACAGATATTATTCTAACTTTAAGTCAGTTTAGTGACTTTTCATTACAGACACTAAGCTTGAGGAAGGTAGAGAAGTTTTGCTGATGAATATGAATTATGGTCTGGTAAGAATAAAGACAATGATAATATAAACTGTTCATATTGAGAAAAGTCCATTTGCACTGACATTTATATTATCAAACCAATGATACTTTTTATAATTCATCGAACTGAGTCTTAATATGGCTGATTAATGTAGGAATAAATGGCTGCTGCAAAGTTATAGACCGTGAATAAAACTGAGCTCTTTATTCTTTATACTAAACACTAAATATCTTATTTTAAGAAACATGTTTTGTTCATTTGTTGACTTTTGTAAATAATATATATTATATCTAACAGAATCTGATATTATTTACATTTTGTCTGGTGAACTTTTACTGTGTGACTCAAAGTAAAACTCTAGAGCTCCATCTAGTGGTGTCAGAATATCCATCCATTTTCTAACACCTTGTCCCTCGTGGGTCAGGAGGTCTGGTGTCCATCTCCACCAGACATTTCAGGTGAGAGACGGGGTCACCTGGAAAGGTCACCTGGAAAGGTCAGCAGTCTGTTGCAGGAGTCAGAATATTATTCTGATCAATCATAATCTTTATTGGGGATAATATTGATCCCTCCTTGATGGATAATGTGAAACATGACTGTCCTCAGAATCAGATCTGTTCATCTTCTAGTTGGAAGATAAACGGCTGTTGTCACATTAAATATGTAAAAAGTCAAACTTTATGCATAAAGTTATTATGATTATTAAACTCTAATCACTTCCATCTCTTATTTTAATAGTTTGAACTCTTAATGCAGGGCATATATCATGTGTTTATACATTTTTATGTTGTTTATTTCTGTGTAGGTTTTACCAGCAAACAGTTAAACTGTCTTTGAATCATGAAATCAGCAAATTAAATTGTGTTTATGAGCAGAAAATTAATGTTAATTTTAGATGATTTTGTTGTTTTGAACTCCTTGTGACAGAAAAGGAAACGTATGTAAATGAGAGCAGATTTTTATTATCAGAAAATAGGGAATAAAAGCAAACACATCCTAAACTGTAAAATTTTCTGCTACCTTGGACTTTCTGACATTTAACTGATTCTTAAAAGAAAATTCATGAAATGGTTCACAGCATCTAGTGGATGCTGATCAAGATGATTAGTGAGATTTTTATGTAGAATCTCAAAGGGAGATTTGCAACTTCTTCATTTTACTGAAAATATGAAGAATTACTTTAAGTACTAATGAGTTTGTATGGAGGAACGAAACAGACTGTGAGTTGATTGAGCAAACTGACTGGCAGCCATTTTTACATTACTAGGAAACATGATCCTCTAAACCAAAGAAATTAGAAACATTAGTTTTTACTGTTTTCCATTCTTTATGTTTTTTGCATCAATAAATGTTTTTTAATGTTTAATGTGAACTGATGTTAAGCTTTGACTCTTGTAAATAAAAACCTTTTAAAACATTGTTGTATTTTGTTTTATTCAAGCCAAGTTCAATATGTGGCCTGAGATGTTTTGACTGTACAAAAAGCAAATTAGTTTAATATGGAGGAGGAAGCAGAGCGGCCATTTTGTTAAAGCCAACCAGTTTGTCCTGTTATTAGCAGCCAGTCAAAGGAAAAACAAACCAAAACATGAAGCCATTAATGAGTTATATTAAAAGTAAAAGTTACAGGTAGTTATGAGTTACAACAACATTTAAGTTGGGATCAATAAATATTATGTTGAGTCAAATAAATTGAACAATTCACCAAAATTAAGATACATTTTTTAATGTTAAAAAGTATTAAATACATGTATGTTACATATACATGTAACATACATGTATCTACTAACATGTCTAGTGATGTTACTAGATACCAGGATGTAGTAACATTAGATAGTAGGTCTAATGTTACTGCATTCTGGTATCTACTAACATGTCTAGTAAAGTGTCTACTCCATCCATTATAACTTCTTGCTAAGCTCAGCAGTGTCTCCCATTCAGTTGTGTGGTTTGGAAAGTGGAGATTTTCTCACCACAAGATGGCGCTCTTTGCTGCTGTTCTCCATCAGAGACTTTTGGGGATTTATTTTTTCCTGCCATCGTATCTTCATAACTCTGGTTGAGAACTAAATATAAATATGGGTCTTCCTTCTCACCAAACATTTTACAGAATAAAATCTTCTAAAAGTCTATCAAAGATTAAAGATAAAAAGACAAAATAAAAAATGCTTCTATGACATTTATCTTAAAATTACTGCTTGGAGTAATAATTATGACAAAGGTGGTTATCAATTAATAAATGTTAACAAATGTTAGTCTTGAAATAAATGATTGTTTTGAAATAAAATGAGTTTATTTTCACATCTCTCCCTACCTAAAGATGTAACCTTTTATAAGAATGT